CCAAGAACACAGAAAAGAGATATTTCTTTCCCCTCATGCATTTGGAAGGGAATTGTCATTTACTCAAAGAGATGCCATTTTTAGCAGATGCAACAATTAAATTTGTATATCACAGTTCATCATAGCTCCAAACTGTCACTGCTTGTAAACAGTATAATTGAAATCGAGCTCAACTGTTTTTCTCTTGTTCTTTGGCTCTTATAAGTTTAAGAGAGAGGGAATAAGGGATAGGAGGGAATGAGAGAGAGAGCTCACGTCAAACCCGTTTTAATTGCAGGAAGACTATGCCCACTGGCCCGCACCAAAGCAAATGGAAACTGAAATAAGATTTGTCAAATGAAACATTGGAAACAATGGACACTATTTAATTTAGCATATGAGTTATGCCAGCTCAAAACCCATTATATCTCATGGACCAAAGTGTGTGTGTGTGTGTGTGCGTGTGTGTGTGTGTGTGTGTGTGTGTCCGTTCTTTTCATATTTTTTGCTTAAATGGATTACAAGAAATATAATTGTTTACAAATGCAATACCAGTGAATGTTTGCTTCATTCTCCCCTTCAAAAGAATGTTATATTAATGGGATCTCAATCATTGCTTTGTGAAAATGTCTATGTTTCTCTCAACATAACAGATTTTCGGGATATAGCAAGTAAAAAATTTTACCAATATCCACTTTACTGTTAGCATATGACCAATAAACTAATCATTCTGTCAGAATAAATTCATAATTGCATTTAAACCCAAAGTTCTCATAATGAATTATAGGCACTCTTAAAAATAATAAAAATAATAATAAAGTTTTTTTTGGCACTGATGGTTCCATTAAGAACCTTTAACGTTCATGGAAACTTTCTATTGCACAAAAGGTTCTTTATGGAAAAAAAAAAGTTCTTCAGGTTTCACTTTTCTGTGATCATCACCCAAATACTTCAGACCAGCCAATGAGACTTTATCACAAAACAACCCAAACTTGAATATGATTATTTTACCATAGACTTGCTTGTGATGGAGCAAAAAATATATATCGTTTTACCCAGTGTCACTTAATTCATGCTACTGGTGTAGTTTCACTTCAAATTGTTTTCTTGACTTTAAAACTTTAAAAGTCTAAAACTTGTTGTTGGCCAGTAATTCTCTTGGAAGTTTAAAGCAAATCCCTGAATTTATCTCCATTACTCTCAGACTTCTTTGTCCTCATCCAATCACACACACCTGTGGGTCTGATATCTCACTCACTAAAGCGAACGGCAGACTGAATCTTCTCTCTCTCTCTTTCTCTCAGCAGATGCTTGACTCGTCTCTCCCTGCTGGTCCTGGCAGGCTGTGGTGTGGCCAGGGGGTCAGTGCAGACCAACCCAAAGTAAATAATTAGTGATACTGGCTGGAGCTCTTTGTCTCTGTGCATGTGTGTGTATGTGTGAGCGTGTGTGTCTTAATTTGGCTAAAGCTCGCAGCCGTGAAGAGAGATGTCATTATTTACGCCAGATTATGGTTGCCGGGTGCCACCAAGGGAGTCTGTTGCCCATTCCACCGGAAAGCAGGCTTAAGCTGTTTATTTACCATTCCTTCTGAGTGTATGTGTGTGTGAGCGGAGGTTGGCGTTTTTAATACGCCTCATCCTCCATTTAACAAGCACTTCAGTGCATTTTGAATGAAATTAAAACTAATTAATTGGGTCTAATGTGATTTTTTTTTAATCGTTGTTTTTGCTGTATTGGGAATGCCCATTTAACAAGCAGACCTGCCAGTGCTAATTAAAAAAATTCTATAATCAAATTGATAACACCTTTATGTTATGATATTATATAATCAACCCTGTTTTACTACATTTTGACTTTGCTATCTTCCTAAAGTCCTTTCCTATGATATAAAGTGGGGGTTTTTATAGCAGGAACAGAATATAGGAAAAAGATAATGAATTACTAATTTCACCCTGTTTCTTACTATTCAAAATGGCAATGACATAACTTTTGATGACTTTTGAAGTTGTGGTATCAAAAGCGGTTTCATAACAACTTGTCCTTTGTTAAAAAAGCCCCTTTTTATGTTTTCAGTTTAATAGAGTATCTACTGATGTATTGTTTTTAATTGTGCTTCAATTGGTCATTCTTATGAAAACTGGAACACGCATACAGCCATTGAACATGCTATATTTCACCTTTGAAGTTACATCAAGTTTTTTTATTCAATTTAAGACACAAAATGTAATTTTGTTTTCAGTCTCTTGACAAACTATATATTAAATTTATAAGACAAAATGTATATATATATATATATATATATAGTCAAATATTTGGAATCATTCATATTTTTTTCATTTTTATCATAGTTTAAATGCTCACTAAGGCTGCATTTATTTGATCATAAATACCATAAAATAGTAATATTTTGAATTTTTTTCTACTTAAAATAACTATTTTCTATTTTAATGTATTTTACAATGAAATTTATTCCTGTGATAGCAAAACTGAATTTTCAATAGCCATGTATACTGTTCTAAATATAATATGTACCCATATATTTTATCAAGGGGACATTCTTCCCTTTCTTTGTCCTTTTCTCTTTTTATTTTCTATCTCTCTGACCCCTTGCCTTGCACTGATTTCCCCAACTTCATCCCTAGGTCAGTAGATCATGGTTTCCTGGTGATAGATGCCAGACCAGGGGTATAGTGGGCATGTGTGTGTAAAACTGGGCCCAACTGCTCTGCCCTGGCACTCCCCTAGCACAAAATAAAGATAGCCCAGCCTCAGTGTGTGCCAGTCTGCTACTTCTCCCCATGCCTTATGTGCCAACACCTCAACAAGTTTACAGATGACTGGTTCACTATCTTCTTTGACATTTTAAATCCATGTTTTGGATTCCATTGGTCACTTCACGTATAGTTTACATTTATTTAAGAGAGAGAGTCTGTGTGTGTGGTACATACAGGGTTAACAGTGTGTGACCATCTCTCAGGGAGTATTTTAAATTTGATATACACTGGTTTGATTACAGTTATTAAATGGGATTAACTTATGAGGAGAAGAAAACTGGTGGGGGCGTTGTTGGAGTGCAAAAAGAGCCTTGCGTAGGACCTAGAATTTATAATCTTTTATCGCAACGAAACACCCATGGAATTGATTTAAAACAAAATCAGACCATACCAGCCGAACATTTCAATTTATGCAGACCTGTAATAGTGTTTGCAATGCATCACATTCGGTGCCTTAATTCAATTTTTTACGATTTAACAGTTTTGCCTTTTCCATTAGCCTGATGTTCGACACAAAAAGTATTTGTTCCCTGGCATTTATCGAATAAATAAACTAACGTAATATGGAAATATTAAATAGGCTATATACTGTAGCCTATGGGAATATCATGTCTTTAAATTGGAATTGGGATAATCTGTTTTGAAGAAGTTTCTATTCTGTTTCTATTATGAATTAGGCTATTTCAGTCGTCTTGACTCAATCTGTCGAGTTTCGTCTCGCTCACAATGGAGGCTACTACTGTCTTTTGTCACTCTTTTCTTATCACTATCAGGGTTTTTATATCATGTTTTTGTTTTAGGCGTGTGAAAATGTAACGTGTGCCTATGTAACGTTCGATACTGGAAGTGCGGTGTACTGTTGCTACGGTTACCACTTCAGAGGAACGCGATTTCTGTTCGCAAAGTTAAACAATGATACTTCTTTTGGTTACAAAAAAATTATAAGAAAATGCTATTTTTTATGTGTAATATGGTGTGGGCGGCTTAATGTAAGCTAGTTTTACATTTAATTTTTTTATTTAAATATATAGCTAGGCTATTTCCACTCTGTATGCTTGATTTGTTTGTATTATAGATTTTATTTGTATCAATCCTTTTTTATTTGTTTTTTAACTTGGCAGATGCATGAAGCGCTTCAGAAGGGTAATCTCAATAATTTCATCTTGAACAGACAAAAATTTGCTTCTCTGACACACCTCTCTTAGCTACTCTTAATGTTAATTCACATTAGTCAACCATCTATGAAGGGCATGTTCAAAGCCTATAGGCTACCTCAATATATACTCATATTAAGTGAAACATTCTTCTGTTGCACATTGAGCGCCAGGCTATAGATGAATTGTGACAATTTAATATGATAGCCTACCTGTGCTTTAGGTCCAATTAAACAATGAGGACCCATCCGTGCGCAAATGTGTGTAAGCCTGTGTATTTGCACAGTGATGTTGAATCGATTTGACACCTCGGAATGAGGTAGATCTTATTTTTCACGCTCGTTTCAGGCTGTTGAAATAATCTGGTCTCATTAGTCGAAAGCTGAACTGGTCTGATTTATCCAGACTGTCAGTGACCCTGTAGTACCGCGGGTCCCGAATCAATCACCGAGCTTGAACGGCTAAACCTGAGACCAAAACGTGCTTGATTTATCTACCAAATAACGGTTTTTCTTTTAAATAAAATGGTGACATGCAATTAAATGAGAAACTCAACCAGCATTAATGAAACTTGATATCCTAGTTTCATAACACAATGTTGTGGGCCATCATCCACTTTAAGGTTTTAATGGGTGGATTTTAAAAAGACAACCCCGTTGTCCGTTGTCTGTGAATTCTATTATTGTTGGAAGTTTATGTGATTTCATATCGCAGGAATCGGTAATGTATAATAACCCTTCAGGCTAACAGAAAAAAACGTAGCCTATCCTCCCAGCCGCCACCGGGAAAATAATTACTTTCATATCAAAACTCCACAGGAGCTGACCGGGTCCTACCGCCCGCGGCGTGAGACCTCATTTTAACTGGAGGTTTTGAATGAATGAATTTGTTAAAGCAATAAACATAAGCCTGCTGTACAGCAGCCTCTCAAAGCGATAAACAAAATAGACATGCTAACTGTAAGCACTGAGGTAGCAATACAAGGTCTTTTCTTTCACAATATTTTATTCTTTTTCGTATTATTACTTATCAAAATGTTACATATATAAATATTTTCGATACTTTATCATTTATACAACGTTTGAGGATGTGTTGTTCTTGCCTGCTGCTCATAGCAAACTTGTTTCCTTCAAGTTCGCAGAGTATTGGAACAGACATTTTAAGCCGACAGTTCACCTGAATCAAGAATATCAGTTTTTGAAAAGTATAAAAAAAATGAAATTCAAACAGTCTTGTATACAAAAACGTATGGTTATCAGCTTTGGGATTGTGACAAGTCACTTGGCGCCACGGCTTCTGGCCTATTTACATTTCAGTCCATGTCAACATCCTCTCCATCTGTATCTGTGTCAGCAGAACTGCGGGTTTTCGTGTCGGAATATTCAGACAGGTTAGGAGAGATGCTTGCTTTCTGGCTAGAGTTTGTGACTGTGGACTCTGAGTCGTTTTCAAACTCCTTTTGTGGCGAATTAGATTCTGCATAACATTTCTCTGAGCTTGTGTTTGAAGTTTGCATGGAAGAGTTCTTGCTTTCTCTTTGCAGCTCGTCGTTTGTGGCACCGGTGTCTTTGCACAAGTGACTGATATTTTTCTGGTTTGAGGTGTCTGTCGTGGAACAGTTGTGCCCCGAGTTTCCTGAATCCTGACTCGGTTTCATCGCTGTCTGTGGCACAATGAAACCCAGCGGCTGGGTAATGGGATACAGAAGGAAATGGCCTTTACCGACCAGTGGTCGCTGCGGCGGTAACTGAGAGAAATCCAGGATAGTTTTTCTCCTGGGACTTGAGTCGGCTAGTAAACTCTCCACACTAAATGGGTTGAGTTTCTGGAGCGCGGAGGCGCGTGTGATGCCGTTCGCGGCGCACAGTGCAGAGTTCCGCGTGGAGTCCATGGGCTCCGCTGTGTCGTTGACTGTACCGGCTCTTTGGTGGAGTGGATGTTGGACACACATATGTTCTGTTTGCTGTCGGTGCGCGCTAGGCTGAGGCCCGGTGTGCGGAGTGGATTCGCCATCGGTGCTCTGCGATACTCCACTGTCGCTGTCAGATCCGGGTGTGTGGAAGAGCTCACCTGCTAAGAGCTTGTTCTGAGATTTCAGCAGCTTGCGTTCCTGTTTTCGCTTCCTCTTTTCCAAGCGCTCCAAGTCCCGTCGTGCGATCTCCTCTGGGTCCATTGGTTCGCCGCTGCAGGTCGTGGGGTGAGAGTTGTGAGCCGGTCGACCGGGCCCTTTCTTCGTGTTCTCCTTTTTGCGCCATTTAGCTCGCCGGTTTTGAAACCACACCTAAACAGAAAAGGTTGTGAATTCTTTACTCAGTTTCATAAGCAGGTAGAGTAACACTTTATTTTAAGGTGTCCTTGTTACACGTTACATGTAATTACTAGCCCATGATAATAACAATAAATTATGCATAATTACATGCAAGTAACCCTAAGCTAAACCCTGATCCTATCCCTAACCATATAGTAAGTACATGTAGTTAATTAATATTATTCAGTACTTAAATGTACACCTTAAGTGTAACCGCAGGTAGGCATATATCAGACTCATGTAGGCTAAAGAACATCGATTGGCAAAATTATAATGACAATTTTAAACAAATGTTTGAATAAATGCACCTGAAATCTATAAATACATCGATTCTTTATCACAATATTATCATGTAATCACAAATGACAGAATGGTGTCGTTATATTTAATTGTATGCATTTATTCAATTATATAAAACAGCAATAGCCGATTTCTCATAAAAAAGAAAGGTCTGACAGTCTGACAAGATGCTAGGTTTCTGAAACGTCTTGTGTTTCTATTTGATATACATCCAAGGTTCTCCAATAATATGCCACGACTTGGACAGGGAAAATGTTTTCATCGAAGCATATTTCATAAAGCCCACAGCCACAGATGCGCTTGTCTTAATTGTCAGTTGATTCAATGTAATGGCTCACTCTCGGTCTTTCAATTACGCCTGGTTCTTGCGTGGCTAATTTGGGCCTGTTCCCCTAAAGTTAATTTAGGCGCGAATAAACGCTAGGACAGATTTGGCCCAGAAGAGGCAGAGAGCAGCAGGCTCGCACCACACACCCAGGCCCCTCACATGCGACTGCCGTCTGTTCAGCGCTGATAACACGACAGTTAGCATCCACCAGCAGGCTAAGACGCATACTAACATAGAGACATCGATGCTATACATGACAATAGCTGTGTATACACATAAAATGTTAATGTCGTTAAAATCTGTGAGCACACAAGCCTAACGATAACGCAGGCTAATCTTCCTTAGGAAATAAGAATAACAGAAAGCTAAGCTTTTAACTCCCCAAACAAGACTGCTTCTCATCCAGCGTCGAGTTTCTACAAAAAGAGAAAATGAAGACAAAGGCTGCACGTCCAACGCTTACACAGTATAATTTACAACCCACTGGCCTATTTACGTTTAGTAAGAATTGGTAAAACTGATCACAAGTAATTGTATAATGTGAATAAGGGTGTTTTAATATATTAGGCAATAAAACATGATGTTAGTAGGCTATAGTTTTTAAACATCAGTCAGCATTTTACCAGAATGAAATTATTTATAATAATCTGCTTTAGAGTTGACATGCATTTACTGCTCAGCTAATGATCAGTCAGCATGAATAAATTGTTATGCAAATCAGTCTGTTATATGATCGATTAATGCTTTTCGCAGATTAATTTTTGGTTGAACATTTAACATGTAGACCTTACCATTATTTTAAAATGTCTACCCTGTTGTCATGCATTTGGAAAAAAATAACTAGGCCTATTTAAATTTTTAGCATTTAAAATATTACATTTTCAAAAACATAAAGCTAACACTAAAAAAATAAAGTGTGATACATAAAACGTGGCTATATGTAATACTGTGTCTGATTAATAATAAATAGGCCATTATAATAAAGGTCAATGAAAGATTTTGTTATGACAAAACAAACCATCATTTACCTGAACACGTGACTCAACAAGGTCTAGACGTAGCGCGAGAGCCTCGCGCATGAACACGTCCGGATAATGGCTTTCGTTGAACGCTTTTTCTAGTTCCTCCAGCTGCCAGCCCGTAAAATTTGTACGCGTTCGCCTCCGTTTACAGCCAGGGCTTTCCTTGTCAGGGTCTCCGGCATCTAGGACCACAGAGTCTGTCAGAACACGCGCATGCAAACATGAACATGCACATACACACTCCAGCATTTCTACTTGGAGCTGTATACATAAAATTTTGTTGACATTAATTATTTAAAACATTACAATTTTACAACAACCCAATGGTTGTCAAATAAAATACTACAATAAAATGTCACACAAGTGCAGTGCCTGATGTACTGGCATAACTAATTAACCCGTCAAGTGTAGCCTACTTTTAAAAATATAGGTCACAATATCTTTTTGAATGCTAATAATATGATTCTTAAAATACAATGGGGTTATTGTTTAATGTCGCATTTAATTTCACAGTATTTTTAAGACGTTTGTGAAGTTGCTATTTAATAATCCTTATATGCTTATTTACAAAGACCAGAATTGCAAATAGAATTTACACATAAATCAAACGGATTTAAACACACGAAAATAATCTGTGGTTATCATGAGAAGAATTTGACATTTCATTATTATCAGTGTATTATCTGTCCAAGTAAAATCGTCTTACTTTCCAGTTTACTTGAACTCATAAAAGTGAAACAAAGCTATTTATAAAGTGTGCGATTTAGCTATAGGAGAAAAAAAAGCATTTTATAGTTTTTTGACGAGAGGCCACGTGTAAATATTTTCCTAAAACTATTGACAAACGGTATAGCATGCTATATTCTGCATGGAATGGATGAAGCGGATAACCATTCACTTACCGCTGAGTTTATACTGACTATCCCCGTTTACACCACAACCAGATCCGAGCAATGGGTTGGAGTTTGCAACAGACGCCGAGCATGATCCGTTAAGTAATCCGTCTATAGAAAAAGGTACAGCGGCCGCCGACTGTAGCTGGTGTCCGGAGATATCGTAAACATGATGGTGACCGAGATGATAGGGGAAACCCAATCCAACCATGCCTCCCAAAGAGCCTCCAAACTGGGCATGAGGATGCTCGAGGATCCGGCTATCCATCATTGCATCTCCGGAATCAGGGAAGCGTTTGTCTGGCCAAAACGAACTCCAACTCTTCCCTCAGAGCGCATGCAGCAGCCGTGAAGGGACGTACGGCGTTGACATGCTTTGCGCTCCCGATTTAGGAATAAGGAGACCGAGGCAGGCGCGCGAGGTTTTTGCTCTCTCCTACTTTGTCAACATCAACTCTCCTCTTGTCCAAATAACTAGCTCTCGCGCTAGGGAATTCGCGACCAATAAGGAACGGTAATCGTCGGTGACGTCAGAGCCACGACACAAACGTTTTCCATATCGATTGCTAATTATACCTGACATCCACCTCAATAAACAATACCAGCGCTGTCACAACACGACATGAGACATCACAACTAGGCGAGAGGGAGGAGGCGAAACCGGCAAATTGATTGATTCCTGACTAAGTTCTAAACAGCTGCTACATAAACACACAATGATTCTGTTCCAATAGCTAATTGTTCTGAACGTCACATTAGTTCTATAAAAGCAGAATAACACATACTAACAACCGAAAACGTCAAGTAGCCTGCCCCGTATCTGATCTATTTCAAGGAACGGCTGGCGAATACGTGCAATGATGTTCTCCTATTACGCGGAGGCATCGTGCCCTGAATAGAGTGATCCTAGAACGGACGAAGCATGCATGCATCACCCACCCTGTTGCGAGCTGTCAAGATGAATTTCAAACTACAAGCACCTCAGCCTTTCTAATATCTACACGCCAGCGCGCTTCGCATCGTTTCAACTCATTTCCACAGTTCTGATTACTGTGGCCATGATCTTGGCAGGTGTTATGAAAAAATATCTGAAGGTGGAAACAAAAGTGAGTCTGACAGAATATCTGTGAGGAGGGAAGCTATATGAAAACAAACGTAGGCTATTTCAGTATAGGGCTTTTAGATTATTGTGCCCCTGAGTTTAAAAAAAAAAACTGACGTCACTGAAATGTTTAAGCCAATTCGTGCAAATAATCAACTATGCTTTTATTCCACTGATCATTTGTATCTAAAAGAGGGAGCTGTGATGTGAGTGGGTCATATTAATCAATAAAATAAAATTATTCACATTTAAAAGAATAAATGGCTAAAACATTGACTTCTTTTCAATGTAAAGGACAATATTTCATATGAGAAAGAATGTATGTGAATTATTGCGCACACACGTTAGTGTATACGGTGTAGCCTACAGAACAATATAAAATGTAAACTAAAAGAAATATATCTTCTTTTATCCGACTGTGATTTTGTAATGATTGCAAACATTTAAGTTTTTATGTATAATGAAGGTCCCCTGCCTCTATAAATGGTAAATGTAAACGCTGTCCAGCACATGTCCACTTTTTTTTTTTAGATTTGGAAAGTGTGTGGTGTGTGAGAGAGAGACAGAGAGAGATGGTTCTGAATACAGGATGGTAATCAATCCTGTTCATGTATAAAGTAAGTACACGGGTCTTTCCCTCTCCCTGCTCTCCTCCTCCATTACCGAGAATTAATTCCACTTTATTTATCCAATTTCTCCAGCTGCCAGAATGTTAATTTGAGTTGAAATTTCTCACCACTCGCTCGCTTGCGCTGACCCTCAGCAGCACCCGGATGGCGTGTAGTAATAACCTAAATCTTTCAACAGAGAGGCACGATAATTGTTACCTTATTAGCATGCAAATTGTTTAATTAATATTATTAAGAAGAAGCATATAATCCGTTCGTCACTTGACCCCGCAGTCTGTTGGCTGGCCGCCTCTCTGCATTTCAATGTGTTCATTTCAAACAACAATTCCCCCTCCCCAAAAAAAGGGTTCTCTACAAGCGCTAGTCGTTTTCAAAGCACACATTCCCTGCGTTAGCGCGCGTTTGATGCTACTTGGTTTGTATCTCTCTCCTCCACTCTTTATCCCCAAACATTTCATCACTTCGCATACAGGAATTATGGAAATCGTTTCATTCTGCCCCTCCCCAGACATCTAAGTTCAATAATTGGATTCTTGTCGTTTGCTTTTTGAAAACCGCTTCTTGAAAGGGCACCCCTCCAGTTCTGAGCAAGCGGTATCCGCTAGACGCACGCGGCTCCTGGGTAGACAACCCTTGACATGCGGCCCCTGCGAAGCGTTGCAAGGCGCCCGTTGTTTTTAATCCGGCAGAGTGAGTGTGTCAGATGTGCGGGCTTTAATTAACTTGATAATAACATGTAGGCTACGCAAGCCACACAAGGGCCAGGGTTCAGTGCGTTTCCACTTTTATCACATTTTCGCTATCTGTAGGCCTATATCTTACGGCGATATTATATAAAAAATAAAGTAAAAACAAACCTGTAGCCTATATAGAATCAACACGTGTCAAAATTAAATGCAACGCACTTGAATGTTTTTCCTGAAGATTTCATTCGCATGTTTATATGATCTATCCATTCTGCATATACTGCATTACGAACACTTCATCTGTAGTCAGAGTAGGCTATAAAATACTTTCATATTTACACATTTGCATTTACATTTAGACATTTAGCAGACGCTTTTATCCAAAGCGACTTACAAATGTACACGTATGAATAAAAACCATTTAAATAAGTTAAAAGGATCCGACATGTTTATGTAGTTAACCTGTTCAATTCAATACAAAGTTCAGCCAGAAAGATGAAAAGGTTTGGGCTGTTCATAAACTCTCAGCACCCTGAAGCTTGAAACAAGGTATTTTTAAACGATAATCATAAATAACCATTAGGCTCGAATAAAACATTTTAATTAAAAGTCAATGTACTACTCTTGAAGGTCTTAATTATTAAATTAACTTAATGTGAATTCATTTGTAGCTATCAAAACTGAGCTGCACATTAGTCGATGTACAGATAATTAGAGTGTGAAATGTAAATTAATTGTTGAAAGTCATTTGATCCACAAACGGAACCAATTAAAGTGTAAAATGATTTTCCTTTCTGTGTTTGTGTTTCACTCAAGCAGAGTTTGGTGTTTTAGTAGGAAACTAGGCTATCCCACCAGGAAAATTTCCTTCTAATCCCGCTCAGCTGATCATGCAATTAAAACTTTCCCGCGCACTAATTATCTGCAATTGTTGGGCTGACTGCAGAGAAAGCAGAAAGCGATTGATTCCGAGTTTTAATTCACTGCATTCCTGATTGAGAGCGAGAGAGAGAAAAACGTAGTTCCTCTTCAAATTACCTTATTCAGCCTTAACCTACGATGCCCTTCAGAAATTTTATCTTGGTATGCATTTATGAGGTAGGGCAAAATGGAATCCTTTTAATAACAATAACTCAAACTTCTATTAGAGTAATAATTTCATTTAAATTAAAACTGACTTATCACCTTTTGCTAAAACGTGCTTAATATGCCAAAAATTATCAATGCTTGACGGACCCCGAGCAGGGATTGTCTAATTGTAATCAGCGAATCGAAGGTGCTTGTCACTTCCCGTTGCCTCGCGCTGGTATGCACGGAAATAGAACTAATTTACTTGCCTCCCCAGGGAAATCCACTGAACAGATTAACATTTTCAAAATATAGTAATGATATCATTTGAGCAATGGCGATGACGCCAATTTTTCGGAGCCTTTGAGAGAGTAATTTACATATTTTTACAGTCCACTATTTTCCCCCCTTAATCACTTTGAAACTGAAGGACACATTAATGTAGCACTTGCACATGGGAGTGCGCGCTCCTGTGTGTGTCTTTGTGCCCATGCGCTCGCGTTCGTACTAAAAGCATCCATTCCAAGATTCCATCCATCTCCATGAAAAGTGAGGAAAATGAGCAGAAAAGACCTGTGACACGACTTCATTGATGATCAAGCACACAGGTATTACAGCTGTCAAAAACTTCAGCTGTCATGTGGAAAAAGAAACCATTCCTTTATCGCCACCTAGCGTCTTGTGATTTTATAAAGGCTAGCTTAACGTAGGCTACTGGAAAGTGTCAGGGTGTCAAAACGCAAGACTAGGATCAGTGACAAATAAGGATGTCCAAGACAACCAAAAAGACACACACACACGCACACATGTCTGGTTTGCTATCCTTGTGGGGACTCTCCATAGGCGTAATGGTTTTTATACTGTACAGACCGTATTTAGCTTGTTTACCCATGGGGACCTCAATTTAGGTCCCCACCGTGACACGAGTCCCCATGAGTCTGTGTGTATTCAGGTTTAAGTCCCCACCAGAATAGAAAAACAGGTACACACACACACGCACGTTTGTTTCTGTGAATTGTGGGGACTTTCCATAGACATTTATTACTTTTATACTGACCAAACGATATTTTCTATCCCCTAACCCAGGGGTGGCGAACTCCGGTTCTGGAGAGCCGCAGCCCTGCAGAGTTCAGCTCCAACCCTAATAAAAACTCACCTACCTGTAGCTTCCTAGTAACCCTTCAGACCTTGATTAGCTTGTTCAGGTGTGTTTGATTAGGGTTGAAGCAAACCGCGAGCCACCGGGGGATTAGAGCAACGTGGATAACAAAGAGATATTAACTATTCAGGGCCCTCACGAAAGACCGCGGTCAGTGCACATCAAAACCCTGATTGATATCCAGGCGATGACACGAGTCACGTGACGTGTAGGAGATTTGTTTATTTAGAGAGAGCGAGAGATGGGTGATCCCGAGTTGTCTAAGATCTGTTTGGAATAGTCTACATCGTTATGTCTCCCAGCAATTGTTGTCACCATCAATAAGCCTTACTGACACATTAAAACATTATAAGAGGGAAGTTTACCATTTAACCCTTTATAACATTTTTTTTTAAATTTAGGCTATTCTTTAAAAATGAGTTTTTGTAACCACTTACAAAAAAGACATTATGTTGTCATGTAAGAGAGCACTCCTTTAAAACCCCATGACGGTGACTTCCTTTTCTTTCTTCCTTTTTTAATGAAAAGGCAGGTTTTGTTCAGGTCAAGAAAGAAAATTCAAGAAAACAAAAAAATGCATGGAACTTGTTTAAAAAGTAGTTTATATAAAATTTGTTTTTTGAAACTTTTTGAAAATTATTAGGTTGTTATTAAATCATTTTACATTCCTTGATTCTTTGTAATAAATGCTGTAAACTTTTTTGAAAAATGTATGAAACCAACGTGGACACAAAATACAGTTCTATGAACTTGCACGTGTTTTAAAATCTGTTGTTTATTAATATATATGTGTGTGTACTTGTTTATGCTACATTGTGGGGTCCAAGTAAAACTTGAAATTTGAAAAAAACTAGAATTTTTTTAAAATTAAAAA